TGGGGGGAAGCGGCCGCGGGGGAGGGCTCCATTGCGTTCGGATTGGGGCTGCTTTGTGGCGTGGCGGCGACGGCGACGGTGGCGACGAACGACGGGAGGGGGGGTAGGGGTGGGGAGGCGAGACTGGTTCTGTTTCTGTAGAGGCCGAAGAGTAGGGCGCAGGGCAAAGCGTTGGAGGACGAGGGGTGGACCGGCGGAGTGACACTTGTTGGTGGGGCCAGGCCGCGGGCGTGTGGGCCCGGCCGGATCGGTTCCAGCGTCCAGGCGGGACTCGTCTGCCGCTTGTATCCTCCACCTTGCCCGGCGCACGTAGACCCACAATCGTTTTTTCTTCTTCTTCTTCTTGCCCGTGATGAAGACCAACGGCATCTCCTTTCTGTGCGTTTCACGAATAAAACGGTACACGTACGAACGGAGGAGCTCATGTTCGACCTACGTCGCCGTCTCCAATCTCCATGTCCGGTCGGCACTACCAAAATGTACATAGTCCCTCCATTATTTATCCATTTTTTTCTTTGACTAAAGTCAAACTTTGTAAACCTTAACCAAGTTTATAAAGAACCGTATAAAGATTTACAGTAACAAATTTATATGATGTGAAAATACACTCAACGAAGAATCTAATGGCATTGATGTGATGGTGTCGTACTCTTTCCGTTCCTAAATACTCCTTCCGTTCTGAAATAGATGATTTAACTTTGTACAAAGTTGAGTCATTTATTTTGGAACGGAGGGAGTATAAGCCTTTTTTTTATAAGGTTCTAATATGTACTGCATACGGAGTAAAATGAGTGAATCTACCCTTCAAATTATGTCTATATACATCCATATATAGTCTGTATTGAAGTCTCTAAAAGATCTTATATTTGGAAACAGAGAGACTATATGTTAATTTTTTTTCTATAAACTTGATCAATTCTGTATAGTTTGACTTTGAAAAAAGATTATACTGGAGTAAACAAGAACAGAAAAGCAAAACACTACCGCACAAAGCCGCAAACCGCTCCGCCGAAACTTCCCCGTTGCACGACCACCGCCATCCCATGCTGATTCTGACCGATTCACCGCCACCATTTTGTCGGCCACCCCAAGCCTCGCCGTCACACCGTCGAGCGAAATGACCACCACGACCCCCTCCGCCAACGCCAAAGCTCAAAATGCCGCCACAGATTCCCGTCGTTCCTCCGCTCATCCACCGGTCGAAATGGTCGCCGCACCAACATCAGCCGATGAGGTCGATTAAAGGACGGGGGCATCCAATCGATCGGGCGGCCACCGCCAAGCCGCGGCTCCATTCGACTCTCGGGTTGTGCAGCACCGCCGAAGTTGGTCGCACCCTGGGCTCCACTCAGGCCCCTTGTCCCTCCTAACACCATTCCTATGCGTCCGGGTGAGCTACGCTAGCCGGAGTTGAGCTCGGTGCCTCGACGACTGTCAGATCCGCCTCCCGGCCTTCCCACCATTGGATCCCTATGAGAAGTTGAATTTTAGGGGCACCAATTTTAGAGCATCTGTCACAGCATAAATTTTCTAGTGCCCAAAAATCTTCTCTCTCCTACCATACAATCATTTTAGGGTATTGACCGACGTTTACATCATCTGTTATAGATGTTCTTAGAGAATATCCCTTGAAACCTCCATGCATAGGTTGCTTTGGTGGAGCGCGGGGAACATGAGAGCGTGCTATTTGTCGTTTCCTAGTGTCGCGACACAGCACACAGCACAGATGCGCTTCATGCGAAGCATGGGCACGCGGGTGGAGCACAATGGTGATTTCCGTGAAGCATAAGTGTGCTTTGTTGCGAAGTACATGCTCCCACGCAGTGAAGCATGTGCAACTAAAAATAAACAAAAATTATGCTCTAGATGTGCTACATCAGGTAGAACACGAGTGTGTTTGAAAATATGCTTAAGGCCTTATACAATGTAAAGTGCTTATGGAGTGCTCGGTAAAATAAATCAATTTTTTCTTAAGCACCAGGGCTTATCTATATAGAAAGGGTGCCTAATTAAGTGTGTATCCTCCACAAATAAGCACTGTTTTATTTTTCTGAGTACCTCGCTAAGCACTTTGCACTGTGCAATGAAGTATATAAAAAAGGAAAAAAAAAGAATAAAAAGAAAATATCAGCGTGATCCCCTCTCCATCTACCACATGTCAAACACGGAGCGCATCAAAGATTGATCTCAGGCGTGCAACATTGCGTGCAAGTGATGCGGTGGATATCCTTAACTCCGTGATTTCAAACATCCAAGGCTGCTTTCTACGCCGGTAATCGAGGCCAGAACTGCCGACCAACATCGCGTGGAAGTGATGGATCCGGCTTCCATCCGTGCTACCACTTCATCCTACGGCTGTTTTTTTTTCTTTTTTCTTTCTAATTTAATTATCTCTCCCTTTAATTTTAAGAAGGTGGGGCCGGGTCTTATTTTGTTCCAATCAAAATCAAGCCACATAGACGGGAGCACGGATGGGCACACGACGGAGGAGCAGGCAAGTCTCGTCCGGAAGTGATGTGGTGGGTATCTCTCAACCTACCTGACAGTGAACATCATCTTTCTCCTTTCCAACCCAAGTTCGTTTAAGTAGGTCATCCACAATTCCACTTCCACATACACACAACTCGAGTACTCGACAGTGAAAGCACCAACGCTGCCACCTCAACGAAGCAATCACATTCACAGGTAAGGGGACTCCTCCAGGTGCTGCACCCGGCATCTCCGGCCCAGCGGGATCGGCCGGTCGTAGAACAGCTCCGCCTTGCCATCATTGGCACCGCCGACGCGGCGACCGGCTGCCAGCCTGCCGTACGAGCCCTTCAGCGCCCTGGAGCGCGCCCCCAGCGACGCGAGGACGACCACCAGCCTCCCCACGTTCACCAGCGCCTTCGGCGACATCATGGCGCCGCCGGCGTCGAGCTCCTCCGCGGGCTCCTTCACGTCGCCGGGGCAGGTCATGGCGCCGTGCTGGTCTTCTGAGACGGCCAGCGGCGCCTCGTCATTCTCGTCCTCGATGCGGCGGTTCTTGTCGCCGCCTTCGCTTAGATCGAACACCACGATGGCGCTCTTCTTCCAGGAGCCGTCGTCGTCGTCGTCGTACGGGTCGACCATCTCGGCAGGTTCGTTGGGCTGCTTGACGTCGAGGAGATCGGACGACGACGCTTCCATCCGCAGGAGCTCCTCGAGGCTCGGCCTTCTCGTCGCCCGGTCGACGTCGTTCGCAGCTGCGCCGGCGGAGCACGCGGTTCCGAAGACGGCGGCGAAGGGGGAGCAGATGAGCCTGACGACGGCGTGCCTCCTCCTTCCCGCAAACCTCGCCTTGGCGTGGTTGGGTGCCGGTAGCAGCGGCGAAGGGGACGACGCGCCGGAGAGAGGCGGGGACGGGCCGAACCCGAACGGCGACGCAGCCCCATCGTGCTCCGGCCTTCCCATTTCCGCGGCGTACGTGGCTTGCTATCACCCTGTGCGTACGTGCGCACTCTTCACACGATCCCAAGCTTCGGAGAGGTATTTATGCCGCTGATGATGCGTGAGGTGGGTGTGGAGTTTGTTCCGAGTAGATAGGCTTTCGGGGTGAGCTCTCCAAGTGTAGTAGCACTCGTTTGTTCAGCTACCGTGGTTAGGATGAGTGTTTGGTCTGGGAGGTTTCGAAATGTGGCAGAGTTTTGGGGAAGGGGCAAAGGATGGATGGGGAAATCGTGTGGGACTGTGCGAGGGAAAAAAGGGACATGTCGTGGATGCGTTGGTTCATAGTATGTATGCGGTTGTTTGAACAACAAGTTTAAGTTCATGGTTAAGTGAAAACCGACTAGCAACTCAGCGGGAGGAGAATCCCAGTGCCTCAGCTCCGGTTAGTAATCTGTGTTAGGGGTTTTTTAGTCTTCACAAGTACGGCGCTCGAGCGGATGGTGACGCTTTTTCTTCGTGTTTATCTTCCAGGCTTTGATCTTCCTCGTGTTCGTCCGTTTGTATGTAGTCGACGGAGCTTCAGCGTAGATTCATGCCATCTCCTTGGAAAGGTAAGGTTAGGGCTTTTCGTCATGTGACGAGATTTGGTGTCAGATGTTTTAGATCTATGTAAGGGTTCAATGACGACGATTGCGGTTCCAAGGCGATGGTCTTTAGGGGCACGTGCACAACGACTTCCATGTTGTCATCGAGAGGGTCAAGCCGGTTCCGGTAGGAGAGCAGCGACAACGGCGTGTCAGCAGCTCGTTCTGGCGATAGTAGTGGTCATTCGATGGTCTCGAAATCCCAATATAATTCTTATTATGTTCGAGATATTTTGTACTTTCGATAAGCTTTTATAACATATCTGATCCTCTGCTAGCAGTGAAGGTTTCAAAGGAAACATGGCTCGGTGGTGCCCGAACAAAAATGAGCGACAGTTCCGACATTGGGAAACTGAGTTTGTTGGGAAGCTTTAGGGGATTGGTACAAGCGAGTGAAAATACACAGTGGTGTTGTGGCTTCAGAAAAGCATGTGGATGCTTCTGGAAACTTTGGTTAAGGATCTTATCTTGGATTTCAAACCAAAGTACTTTTGCCTTTGCTTATGCTCACCTTGATAGTACGGTTGTTCTAAATTCAATGTAAATCTTGAATTCAACAAAAGCATATAAATTACATTCAACAAGCTTGAGGTAGACTTCACTTTGAGAAGTTTGAAGCTAGGGTTCACATTAGACCTATTTTCTGAATAAAACTTGATAAAATGGTAGTCGTATAAACTGGATGACATCATTAATCGCCAAAAGCTAATGGGGGCATCTAAGAGATCGCGACACTTTTTTATTTTTGTGGGATCAGAGGGATTTCATTGCTCAACTAGCAAGAAGGTCCTCCATACAAAGTCGTGGTACATTAGCAGGGGCCGATCCAGAGAGCCGTACGGGCTTCAACACGACCAAAAGTAGCTAATCTATTACTTAACTTGAAGGATCATGAGAGGCCAAACTTTAGATCGTCAACTGACATAATTCATCACATAATCGCAGCTAATTTAGAACACAAAAACAATTGAAAATGAGAA